AAGGTAATTGATTTAGATTTCTCCATAAATGCTCAATGGGTGTTACTTCGCAATATCTGTACTTCTCTGTCACACTCATTGGGCATATGGGAGCTAAGAACGCCATTATCTTCGTATTCGTTTGAAATAACCCTGTCAAACCCGCTATCCTAGAACTCGTTATGATAATCCTTATTGCCAAATCATGGAATAATAAACATTAAAAAATCAGCAGTTGGGATAATTTCCGGTAAGACTGGAAGTGACAGAACTGATATTTTGTCAATTGATCAGGATCTGATCCCGAATGAATCAGAAATAACAGCACTGTCCGTTTGTTGTGCACATCTCTGTACATATTAAAAGTATTCTGATTTTTCCAATCATATGGAGGTAGAATTCTCAAATTTCAAGGAAATAGAAAGCTTTCAAAGATACATTCCATGATCGAATGCGATTATCATCAGTGGAATACACTGCTCACCGGTAGCAATGGATTCACTGATATTTCCAAAAGGAGTTTCAGTTCTGAAAAATGTATTCCTCGCCTTACTCCTCATGAAGGCAATCTTGTACATTCGATAATCAGGATGATACAATTTGCTGAAGCGATAAATTGAAGCTATGGAAGGTAAAATCATTTCCCAGATTTTTTTATATCTCTCTCTCTTCATTTCTATAGATAAAAATCATCAGCAACATGCCTTCTCAGTATGACACTTCTCAAGACAATTTGAAAGAATTACTTTTTCCATTCTTCATGGGATCAGATTCGTTACCGAAATATCAGAGTATAAATTTTCAAGTAATGTGATTCCATATTTTTTGAATATTACTCTTCTTCAACCATTTTCAAAACTGAGTGGCACTGACAACCGAATGAATTCTTCTCTTAGGCTCTCTGATAGAAAATTCTTTGCACGCAGTGATATTATGGGACGTGTCCTGACTACATGAAATGGTTCATATTTTAATTTTGCCTATGTTTCGCTTAAATATCTTATTCTTTGACAAAATTCGTTGAGAATGCAATGAAATGTACTCACTTGAATTGAAATCACGAGTCCAATCTGGATCAGTAACGAGAAAACGGAGGGAATAAAGTCATTTTTTTTTCAGTTCTCTAAAGTTGCCGTGAAAAAAATTCTACTATTTTGAAAAATTTTCAAACCGTATCATCCTGAAGTTAGGTAAACTATCAATATTAATATCTGTTTTTTTTATTTATGAATCTAACATGTTTTAGAACGTTCATGCATATTTATGTCAAAAACGGTTCGTTTATCGAAAATAATTAAAGATCTACACAATTTGATCACTGAAAGATGCCAGAGGCGTACTACGAAGAAGTTTGGAGGGGATAAAAAGCCTCTACCTCCAAAAACGTATCACCCTGTAGATTTTGAAAATCTTCAAAATGCTTGAAATGATGATCTTCTAGGAAGTATTGACTACACCAGATTTCAAAATGATATCTTGAAAAGTAAGCGAGATAGTTCAATTGATAAAAAAAAATAATTAAACTTTGACCCCCTGTAGCTCCGCTACTGAACGAGATCGGACTAATGTTTGTATGAACTTTTGTGATTAATATGATGAGATCTATCTCCCATTCCAGTTTGTGCCTTAAAACCTGAATCACCCTGTATATTCTTTAGCGTTATAGGAATATGACTGGAAAACTTCCCAAACATTTTTCGTCAAATGGGAAGCATGGAGAATTCTTCGATATTTCCTAGACTTATAATAGTGAAATATTAATTTTCAGAATAAAAACACGGCAGCAGAATATGTTGAATTATTGCGAAGACATTCAATGTTCCATTTAGTGGAAAATGTGCTTGTTGCGTTCGTTTCAATCAGTAGTTTGATTCATCAAACAATCGAAAATCATCCCAAACAAACCCTGAACAGCATCTATATGCATTCGGCGGTACTAACACAAATATTCTGTGCATCTAACTGTGATGAAGTTATCTGTAATAATTGGATATTTGGTGTATTTACAGAATGCTGTACTGATGAAATACGATTCTGATAGAATACGGTTTTGACGAAATACGGAACTGACGAAATACGGAACTGACGAAATACGGAACTGACGAAATACGGTTCTGACGAAGTACGGTTCTGACGAAATACGGTGATGATGGAATACGGTTCTGATGAAATACAGTTTTGATGAAATATGTTTCTGATAGAATACAGTTCCGATGGAATACGGTTCCGATGAATTACTGAAACTATAAAATACAGTGCCGATGAATTGATGTGACGATGGAATACAGTTCCTATACGATACGATTTTGATGAATTACGATTCTGATGTTTTACTGAAGCGACGAATTACGGTTCTGATAGAATACCCTAACGATAGAATTAGATTATGATAAATTACCGTGATGATGAAATACTGTTCTGATGAATTACTGTTATGATCAAATACGGTTCTTATCGAATACCATTTTGATGGATTACATTTTGACGAATCACGTTTTGTTATAATACATACCTACAAATTACGGAGCTATGTTTTACAAAGCGATGAAAAACGTGCTTACAGAATACAGTAACTATCAATTACGGTACCTACGAATTACCATTCTGATGAAATATATTCTTATAAATTATATTTTGATGCATTATATTCTGACGTTTTGGGTGTTCCCAGCTCCGCTACTGAACGAGATCAGACTAATGTTTGTATGAACTTTTGTGATTAATATGATGAGATCTATCTCCCATTTCAGTTTGTGCCTGAAAACCTGAATCACCCTGTATATTCTTTAGCGTTATAGGAATATGACTGGAAAACTTCCCAAACATTTTTCGTCAAATGGGAAGCATGGGGAATTCTTCGATATTTTCTAGACTTATAATAGTGAAATATTCATTTTCAGAATGAAAACACGGCAGCAGAATATGTTGAATTATCGCGAAGACATTCAATGTTCCATTTAGTTAAAAATGTGCTTGTTGCGTTTGTTTCAATCAGTAGTTTGATTCATCAAACAATCGAAAATCATCCCAAACAAACCCTGAACAGCATCTATATGCATTCGGCGGTACTAACACAAATATTCTGTGCATCTAACTGTGATGAAGTTATCTGTAATAATTGGATATTTAGTGTATTTACAGAATGCTGTACTGGTGAAATACGATTCTGATAGAATACGGTTTTGACGAAATACGGAACTGACGAAATACGGTTCTGACGAAATACGGTTCTGACGAAATACGGTTCTGACGAAATACGGTTCTGACGAAATACGGTGATGATGGAATACGGTTCTGATGAAATACAGTTTTGATGAAATATGTTTCTGACAGAATACAGTTCCGATGGAATACGGTTCCGATGAATTACTGAAACTATAAAATACAGTGCCGAAGAATTGATGTGACGATGGAATACAGTTCCTATACGATACGATTTTGATGAATTACGATTCTGATGTTTTACTGAAGCGACGAATTACGGTTCTGATAGAATACCCTGACGATAGAATTAGATTATGATAAATTACCGTGATGATGAAATACTGTTCTGATGAATTACTGTTATGATCAAATACGGTTCTTATCGAATACCATTTTGATGGATTGCATTTTGACGAATCACGTTTTGTTATAATACATACCTACAAATTACGGAGCTATGTTTTACAAAGCGATGAAAAACGTGCTTTCAGAATACAGTAACTATCAATTACGGTACCTACGAATTACCATTCTGATGAAATATATTCTTATAAATTATATTTTGATGCATTATATTCTGACGTTTTGGGTGTTCCCGTTGGATCCTGAGCATTTCCATTTTTGTAAATAGCTCTTACTGATGCATGTTTTAATTCGTGTGGGAAACTTTCTTTCATGAAAGATTCATTGATCAATTTTGATATTGGTGTAGCTAAAATGTGTCTCAATTCAAATATGTCTTTAGTATTCAAACCTTCTGGATCAGGGCATGTCTTTTTTAAATCATGAATAATAGAAATGATTTCGCTTTCATCAGTGGGAAACAGAAGCATTGTGGAATCATTATATTGTGGACAGACATGTTGACGTGGAAGATTATTGTAATACGATATTATTTCCTTTGCTATATTCTCACCAATACTCGAAAAATGATAATTCATAATTTTGGCTATTTCTAGTTCATCATTGACAATGTTACCATTAATTTCTATCGATTCAATATCACTATATCTGTTTGATTTTGTGGAACCTCTCAAACAATAGTTTATCGTATCCCAAAGTTTTCTTTGATTAGCTTCAGAATTCTCAAATTTTCTATTTATATGTTGAGCTTTCGCCCTTTCTATCAGAGCATTAACTTTATTCCTCTGTATTTTGTATTCATTGAAAAGCTCTCGATTACCAACATTTTGTTTATGTCTATCAAATTTGGAATTTCTAATTTTTATTTCTTGAATAATTGTGTCATTGATCCAATCGTTATCTTCACGTGATCTCAAATATATCTTCGATGAACATTGTCTTTTAGATTCCACAATAATGTCTATTATGTCCTAAAATACTTCACATTGTGTTTGCCTTAATTTTTCAGAAAATACTCGTTTGAATTTAGTATAATCAATTTTGACTATTTCACGTTTTTTAAATTGTTTTAATTGAGTGTTGGATTTTTTTATGGTAGTATACATAATTCTGTGATCAGAAATTGAAGTATTTTCCATAGATATTTTAAAATTGAAAGTGTGGCAATTTGTCAATATATGATCCAGAATACTGAAAGAGTCACTCTGATTTCTAGTATAATTGGTTAAATCAATTTCGTTCACAATTCGAAAACCATTGCTTTCTACTAAATTTGTATAATTCATAACATCATTATTGTTCATCGACAAATTTATATTTATATCTCCTATTATTATGAGTTTATTATTTTGCTCCATAGTCCCATCTATGTATTGTAAAAAATCATTCATATTGGAATTAGGAGGTCTATATAATGCTGACGGTAACTATTATTTCTTTTATTTCTGCAACAGGTAGAGACAAGTCCACTAAAAAAGAGCTGGTCCTTCCGTACGTCGTCGAACGCAAGCGCCTCGACGATCTCGCCGGCAGCATCAAGGACGGCCGCTATCACGAGCAGAAGTTCCGGCTGAAGCGCAGCGGCGCGCAAACGAAGATCTACCTGATCGAGCAGTGCGCAGGCGCGCGCAGCCACGTCGGGTTGCCGTTGAGCACGCTGATGCAGGCGGCCGCTAATACGGCGGTGCAGGACGGGTTCGTTGTGAGCGTGACGGGCGGGCTCAAGCAAACGGCGGAGTATTTGAGTCGGTTCACCGGGTTATTGGCCGCCAGTTTCAAGGTTAGACTTGTTTTTACTGTGGTGTTGTTTTTGGGATTCAGGTTTTAGATTAAAGAAAGTTGTATTTTTTGAAAGCCAACGGTTCGTCAATTCATTTTGATATATTCAGGGCACTGTAAGATGAAATTGATGAGAATAAAGCGAGCTCCATACAACCATTGGTTCGCAAGAAGCAGTTTTTCGAAAATAAGCGATTTTTTTCAAAAAGAGAAATATTCCAGAAATGGTTACTTATTTTGTGAAATATCTTCTAAAATACGCTTCCGACGTTAAAAATTATGCGGAACAGAGTTGTGAGAAATGTAATAAACTTCCACTTGAGACTAGAATGGTATATGTAGGCCTAGCGGTTCTCTCAAAAACTGCAGATAGCCAAAAACAGTCATAAGTGAGTTTTGGGGGAAACTGGAATAAACTGTTCTCACGTCTTTTCATTTTTTATTCATCAAACAGTTAACAGTTACAATTCTATCATTCGAGCATTTCAGTGACACATCCAGAACAATTTGCCACCGCCTGACGGGCAGAGGACTGAGCAGTGGGGCCCAGCCTTTCTACATGAGCACCCTTCCTTGCATTTGCAGATTTTTCGCAATTGGGCGAGGTTTGTGCTCGTTGAAAAGATAAACGTCTGACACCTCAGGAAATCCAAAGTATCCATCGCGATATCTCTCCCATATAGAGCCACAAAACATTTGGTGCCTGCTTCTCTCATGACTTGTGGGACGGAGTCTGGCCGAACGAAACCCCCACTTGCTCAGCCATTGTCGATCTAAATGAATGAACATTCATTAAAAACCAATAGTATTCGCTCTCAGGGCACGGGGCCCTTCATTTATTTAGAACCCGTTTTTTCTGAACCTTTGGAATTCTTGACTATGGGCATTGACAGTTCAAGGAATAGTAGCATCATAAAAAATTTTTTCAAGTAGGTCTAGCATAAAATAGGTAATTCTTTAAGTTCAATATCATTTGATTTTGTATTGTAGACCTTTCAATTAGGCTGAAGATGGTATTTTATAAGACCGAAACATGTCCCTCATGTTTTAGTAACAATATCATTAAAATTTGTGGAGATGACCTCGAGCATTCCTTCCTTCCTGTGAAATATTTCACTCCACTTTGAGCAATATGGACTTCTACCAAAGATTATATAATGATATTTTGTGTTTGTAGCAGAATTTCCATAAGACATTGATGAAATAACCAGATTGAGTGTAACCTTATTGCTGCTATATATGCATTTCAGATGGGAAATTTTCCATTCTGTTCTCGACCATCATCATTCTTCTGCTACATTTCTTCTGAACATTACTCACATAATGATTCCTAATGTGATTCTTCCACATCAATTTGTTTGTATCACTCATAGTTTTTCGTTTTTCAACTGAAAAGCTATTCATGAAGGTATTCTTCACTGTAGGTAGGTACCTGAAATTTTCAAGTATAGTGATTCCGATGTGTACATGGTTTGCATCACAAAAGACATGTTTTCACTGCAAATAACGGAATTTCATGAATTATATAATCAAAAATATAGAAGGAAATAAGCAGCCCCTACCTTTCTGCTTGGCTTGCATGTCGAAAAAGTGTAAAAGCACTGATGCGTTTCCGAAGTTTCCACAGTTCCAACAGTTCAAGTTGCATCATAAGTCAACCTAATACAACATTGCCTAAACATTTTCCTGCTTTTATTCAAATATAGGTAAATGGTTTTCATATTTGATAATATCTTTCGTGATAATGTTTCATTTTCGGGTTTCAACATGACAGATTTTTATTTACAAACTTGACAGGACCATGAAAAATGTTTCGGTTAGGAATAAAAAATGAATAACTTATTTTACTTAGTTCACGTAGATGTCTCTGAACTACATATTTTCTTCATTTTTCTTTTCAATGAACAGACAATATTATAGCTCCTGCCTACTAACTACCTAACTAGGTTGTCATCTAGAACGACAATGGCTCAGCAAGTGGTTCACTCTTGATCAGGAATGTGGTGATTTTGGGCTTTTGTTGGCCATACGGTGCTGAGGTACTGAGGTAGTATCGCATCTGGCATATGTGTGGGTAAATAGTCTTGTCCCTAGTGATCGCTAGGAGTCCTGGTGGTTGTAGGAGGTCGTAGAGTAGACACTACAACCAGCTCCGCTTTTCTGAAGGTAGACGTTTGTCTCTTCAGCGCCTCAACCATTGAGAATGACGAGCAAGTAGACGTCTTCTCCCACTATGACGACATCCGCATCTTCTTCGGCAACAGCCTGTTATATTCGTGGGTTTTGTTGTTGTGTTGAGTTTACTTTATACCTATAGATCTTTTCGAAATGAAGATATGATTTTATTCGTATAAAAATTGGATTGTTGTGAGGTGTGTAGATGTATCATTGGCAATATTTTATCTGGTTGAATAATAATAATAATATGCTGATAGGTACTCACCGGGAAATAAGAAAGAACACCAAATACATTTTTACTTGGTTACAAACCGCTCGCAACTTCCCCATCTTTTAACAGTCTGTCTTGCTCGGTGGTCGGAATCGGAATCCCAGAAACCAAAAACGGTCTCTCTCATACTCGCGCTCGGTTCTGACGTTATGTCTAGATGCCCGTAAGTGGTGAATATAAGAATGAATAATATTAAGTTGACTATGCAGGGACTATAACAAGCCACTTCAACTCCCTGCTCATGAAAGGCGGTATAAAGAAGAGTTATCAGGCGTCTCTTGTTGTTCTCCTAGCCCCATACATTGTCTTGATCAGTTTGAATAATTGTGGATTTATCGTACGATTATTCATTACTGGAATGACTTGCGTAGCGCAGGAGTCGTTCGGCTGTTTTGGTTTTTTTTATTAAAAGCTTTTATTTAACTTGCATTGTATGTTTGTATGTATGTATGTTCGGGTGGAATCTTTGAACTCAATTTTGAAGTAGAAATCTTCAACCGATTGAGCTGAAATCTTGTATACACGAACACGTTCAGTTTGGATGACACTGCACACGATGATCAATATTTAATTGGATTGTAATTTTAAAAATTTTATCAGCAGATTTTACATAATTGAATAAGTACTAGTTCATTCACACAAGTGAATCGCGCGACAAACTTTTATGATCATATAAATTGTGTATAACGAGGTTATAAGTTGATAGTTGAAATTATTAAGAAAAATTGTATTCTCTTCTTTTTAGAGCGTTCAAATAAAAGCTTTTTATTGAAAAGTTTTTTTTTACATTACTAATTTATTTAAGCATAAGTAGCCGTCAAAAACGATGGAGACATTCCTCCCAAAGTGGTTACGGACGAAGGTTGTATAAAGCGCCAAATGTGCTCGACCTGTGCTCTTCCAATGCCACGCGACCTTGTGCAAAAGGTAGCCGCAATCCAACACGACGTACAGTCGCATTCGAAAAAAAAGGGTACAAGTATATTACAGGGAGGAATTAACGTCATCCTATTCTGCATAAAACGGGTTATCGGAAATGATTGCTTACCAAATGTTAACAGTGAAGTTGTCATAGGTTCTCAAAAACACAAAGCATTGGCTGAGCCATTTTTACACGACTACATTTTTACACAACTAGAACTAGGATCCCGAAATCCTCTGTTTTTAATGCTTGTACGCTTTTTTATTGAATACGACTGTAAGTGCTGGCATGTATGGGCGTGGGGCTGGAAAAAATAGAGAAGGCAGAGTACAGAGTGGATTTTGTGCCCTTGTGCATCCCCTGCTCATTAAACGGAGACATCAGGAACGGGGCCGACCTGGGCCTACTCTATCTCAGCGGGCTGTAGTCTATCCCCTCTATCTCGATGATGACGTCACACTAGTAGGTTGAGATTTCACATCATTTCATGTCGGTGCGATCATAATTGAAAGGTTATAGCTCATTTACTATAAAAATTAAAAGCACACTCAATCGAGGCGACTTGATCCTTAATGAATTACCCAACTTTCGGTAAAAAAATAAATTCAATTGGATGAACCATGAAATCGGTACGATTTATGATGTAAACAAATTTAATTTTAATGAACGTTGTACTACGGAACACTATTGTTTGAAACTGAGTATGTCAAACTAGGATAATGCATCAATTGAATAGTAAGAAAATTATTCAGCCTACCTATAATGAATCCGAAATAAAAAGTACATTTTATTTTGTGGCATCTGTTTTTTTTTTCTTTTAGAATGTGTAATATTTTCAGAATTATTTTCGTTTACTATTGTGTTTATGAGAACTACATATTTTTTGTTTTCCTTAATATTCATGTTCTGAAACTATTTTCAAATCAATTCATCTTCATTAATATGAGATTATTTCTGAAATATATACTGCTTAGCTGAAAATAATTAATACACAGTCTGGGTTTTTGCATAATAACTTCTACTCGAGTAGGTATAGAATTTCTAACGTCATTAAAGTGTGTCCAGATTATCTTTAGACATAAATGCTACTAAAACCCTCAGAGATACAGTAATAGTATATTACACACCGAGGTGGGAAGAGGTTCATTCCTGTCGTGAGAATAGTTATTTAACCGAGACGCAAAGCGTTGTGTACTATTTTATTTGCAACCATCATATTTCGATCAAATTTGATAAATCTCTGTTTCGTTCTGAACATACCCAAAATATTACATAAGTGAGGGCGGGAAGTATAGTGGGGGCGGGAAGTGAGGACGGGAAGTAGAGGTGTGTAATGTGACACTTCCCAACCTTCAATGACTTTAGTTATGACATTACATATATATGGTGGTAAATAAGGGTGTATCATTCGCGATAGAAAATAAGCGTACACATCGGAGATCTTGAAAACTGTCAAAGCGGTATGTTTACTTTGTTTTCATTGGTTCACATTTGTTTTTTTTGTGCTTATTGGTCATATCATCGAAACAAACCGCTCAGAAGTGTTCAAGTTGCTGCAGTCAGGTGGGACGACGTGTTATTTTCTATCGCGAATATTGATTTGAAGGCAATGAAATTTACTACAGAATCGTCAGAGACAGCATATATTAGGATTAGCATTGGAGCAGTCTAAACTTTTTGAACTGTAATAATTATCTGAATCATCATTTTACTTGAATTGAAATATCGGTTTGTTATTGGCTCTTGGGAATTTTTTACAACATTAGTCATAGTCAATCTAGATTCATGAGAAGCATTTGTATGGTTCAATCTGTTTTGTGAATTGAATATTGGAATTTTAGCAGCTGTTTAATAAAAAATTCTGAATGTCAATTCATTTTGATATGCTATATTTCTTAAAGTATGAATCGTAAATAAGTGAATAATTATTCATCTCTTAAAAAATTGATCTGTTACCGTTATCTCGTGGTACATCATAGAATTGGGAAAGGCAATTTCCAGCGCCTCGATTATGTGCCTAGTAGTGTGACGTCACGAAATCGATGCTCTGGCCCAGTGAGATAGAGTAGGCCCTGGGTCAACTCATACTCGAAATCATTCTCTAAATCCTGTTCACATTGCTTTGCAGTTTTGGGAAATGTTGGGTGAAGAGCAAACCAGTTTGAGTTTTGAGTTTTTCCACATTACCCTTATCTCGGATGATTCAAGAAGGTATGATGTCTACATGTTGCTCTCCAGTAGGACATGAGATGGAGCAAAAACTAAAACACTTTCATTGAGGAACAATTGCGAAATGCTATCTCCTCGGAAATAACCATCCTTGCAAGATGAGCAGATCTTCACGATACAAAAATTAATATCATGGGGTCCTTTATTTGCCTGAAATTGTTCCCAATTGTTTCAGTAACAAAAAACATCTAGAAATTGTATAGTCTACCCGTCAAGTCCCAAATTATTTTTCAACAATACCTAAAATGAAAAAAAAAACAGTGTTTGATAAATAAAAACCATCAAAATACGCCTTATGACTTGGTTTCCTGCCGTTTTGGGGGAACTGCTTACAGGTACCAGTCTAGTCTCAAATGGAAGTCAATTATATTCACTACAACTTATCTTGAATAATTTTTGACGTGGGAAGTGTTTCCTAGAAGATAATTCACAAAATGAATGACCATTTCGAAGAAACTCCACTTAAAAAAAAGCATATTTTCGAACAACTATCCAGAAGGAAATATTAGAATCTGCAAGATCATGGGTCGTCCCAAATCAATTAGTTCTGAACGAGAAAAAACTAAGACACTAGTATTTGAATCCAGAATAACTAAAATCGATGACATCCGCAATGAAGATACTTACACAAAATTTTTAGGGTTAAACATTGATGTAAGGCTCATGTGGAGTACCCATATAACACAATTATGCAGCAGATTAAATTCTGCGATCTATGCTATAAAAAAAGTGAGACAATGTATAAGCAAGTCAGCTGCCATAATGACCTACTATTCCATTTTTGAATCTACCCTCAGGTATGGATTAAATGTCTGGTGCTCAGCTTCCCAAGTACATCTACATAAACTTTTCCTGACACAAAAACATGCCATAAGAAGTATATTGAATGTGAATAGAGAGGTCTCCAGCAAACCACTGTTTATGGAACTCCAATTAATGACACTTTAGTCTCTAATTGTATATGAGAAATTAGTAGAAGTGAAGAGCAACTTAAATACTTATAAAGTACACTCTGATGTTCACTCACACAACACCAGGAAAAACAACAATTTGATACTGCCCCTCACACGCTTAAAAAGATGTGATGACATAGGTGTCAAGCTTTTTAATTCATTGCCCTCTGATTTTCGTGACTTGAGATTCAACTTGTTCAAAACAAAGCTGAAAATTTTTTTAACAGCGAATCCTCTCTACAATGTGGAAGATTTCCTTATACTTATGAAGAGCAGAGATGCCCTCCTCTGATATGTATCTATGTCTCTACTTTTACTTTTAATTGTATCCATATTTTTTTTGTAGCTTCATTCTCTCATCTATTATTTATTCATTCATCATTTATTTATTCATACTTCATTATGTATTAACGTATGACGAACCTAATACAGTGTACTTGCTGTTCAAAAAGGAAAATAAAGTGAATTTGAATTTGGGAACCAACGGCTGTTTGGAGCTCGTATTAGTCTCAAATTATAGCAAATTTAGTATATTTCGAACGTATATCGAATGACTATAATGGTTAGTCTTTCCTCCACCGAGATATTGAGCGAAAACTGAAAAAAGTCAGAAAATTTCATGTTTTTTTAGGTTTACCGCCGATCCCACAGCACATTGGAAATCGCAAATCTGGTTTTTTGATATTGGTTGAGGTCCTAACAATCATATAAAAAATTCGGAACGATCGGACCTTTCGCAAGCACATATTGACTATTTTGAAGATTACATTATATGACGTTCGCATCCTAGCTATAGTATCTTCAATCTATAGGATATAGGAAACAGAAAAAAAACAAATAAGTGAATAGAACGACATAAATAAAATCACCGTAACTATAACACTGACTAGGATCAGATAGGTACCTACAAAATAAAATGTTTTCGAGTTCATACAAGTTCAAGCAATAACGAAATTACTAGAAGCATATTACGATTCCTGATTTCTGATTTTCAAATCTGCGAATCCTTTCATTGCACCATCATAATTTTCCAACTGTTCGTCAAATCACTTTCCATGAAAAGCATTCCCAAAGGTGGTAATATTTTCTTCAGCAATACCGTTCTTCATTTGATTTTTTCGTCGAATTCGTATTAACGAGTAAGTTTAATGTTTATGAAATCGTTCATTAATGACCCATATTAATGATCAATTTGTCTATTAATGCACGATTATTTTATAGGCAACCAAACATAGACCGCGTGCATTCATTGTTTATGCTTTGAAAAATATGGATTTCATCGAAGATTTTCCGTTAACGAGTACGCTGGAATTTATTTTCTATGATTCTATGTTGATCATTTCGACAAATGTCATATGTCACAAATGTCAGTAACAAGACTACTGGGTGATTCTTAGTAGTTTCTGGATGATTGATGAATTCGTGAACCAAGTTTTCTTCATTGCAGGAGAAATGAGAAATATAGTCGACAGAAAAATTGTGTAACCAACTCGTATATTAAAAGGCGATTAATACACTAGTTGGTTAAATAACTATAAATTATTGTTAATTTTGAAAATGAGTGCTCTACTTCGAAACTGGTCACTGGTAGTGTAGAAAAAAGTTCAAAGCACTTATTTCAATTGAAAAATTCCTCCGTTCATCATTCCTTTGGTGTACAGAGACCCGTCGATTTCATAGGGACAGTATTGCTAGGTGTTTCCTAAACAGTAGAGGAGATAGACAGTTGATGAAATTAGACAAAAGTTGCGTAATTTAAACTTTTCCGATATATCGTTTTGCAAACTCGAAAAATTCCAGCCGTTCCTGAAATATTTCGAAAAAACTGAAAATCATTGATTTTGTTTTTATTCAGCTGATATTTGGGGAAAACAAAACGGCAAAAGTATTGCTCGGATTTGTTTTTGTCATTATTTCATTTATACAAACAAATTATAAGGGAAAATAATGATGCAAAGCTAGGGCCCCTGCAGGGCCCCCGCAAGAGTCGGGGCCCTAAGCTTTAGACTAAGCGTACCGGTAAATCCGCCGCTGTTTATTGTAACAGTATTTCACCTGAAGAAGGTCATGTGTTATATGTCTTCTGATTGATAATTTTCTGGAAATCTTATTGTTTGTGAAGTTTTTTACATTTACTACGGATTTCCATGAAGTAACGGCCGAGTCAATTCAAAATTTATTTTAGGACAAGACTGTAATGAGTTGCCCCAAGGACAATTTGGACGAAGTTGATTTGACTGACGATTTGATACCTCTGATGACGTTCAACGAGTTCAATCGGAGTTCTATGAAAAATAAGGTGAGTTGACTCAATCAAATTCCGTTCGCCCAAACTTTTTTTTAATTACAGTAACTTGCGACATACGCCGAATGTTCACACTCTCTAAAAGACGTGAAATGAGATGTTCGAGGCATTCTAGATTGTATAAACCTCGATATGAACATTTTGTCGCCACTGATTGAACCTTCAATGTGCTACAATTTACTCGATTAGTGATCATTTCAGTTATAAACCTGTAGAACTGGCAATGGTGGTAAAACCTATATTGTTGCCATTTATTACATCAATGAATATCGAATCTTCTTAACAGTTCAGTTGGATCGATTCGAAAATTGGGAACATTTTTCTTGATATTTCCTTAAAATAAAACTGCTGGCAACCCCGGAAAAATGATTATGACGTCAGCATTAGATAGACGAGTTGGTCGGCGAACGCTGTTTGAACGTTCCATGAAATTGTAGGGTATTCAAATGGTGTATTTAGAAGTACTGCTGCATATTTTATCAAAAAATGTATGCATTCGTGTTGTTACTACTATACATTTCATTTATATGCACCCTCGAATTCACGCATTTGAATTCTTGCCTTGTGTTGAAATTTTGGTATGCAATTCCATTTATTTTTTCAGCCAATGAAAGTAACAGACTTATTCGTCAAAATGTTGCTGCAACTAAAAGGGATATCAGTGGATAGGGCCTTGGCGATAGTGGAAATTTATCCAACTCCTGCAACATTAAGGCAAGCTTACTCGGAAAATACGGGCATCAAAGGTGAAAAACTATTAGCTCCGATCAAGTTTGGTAAGTTCAAAAAGGCGATTGGACCTACTTTGAGCAAAACTATTTACCAACTTTTCACTTCTGAGACTTTTTCATGATATACAAGACTGATTTTTATAATGTATCAACAACATGTAGATCCAAGAACATCTGAACGAAGATGTAGGGGAAAAAAGCGAAATTGTGATATTTCTGTATATTTATATTTGTACATTACATTATTAGTTTCAACTGCTTTTCTTTTTCTTCTTTCCAAATCCCTCGAACTGCATACTCAATAAGGGATTGCTCTTCTTCACCTACAGAAAATATTCAGGTCAAGTTTTGTTTAAATTTTGTATTTATAGTATACCTTGTGTTTGTGGAATTGATTATACAGGTGAAGGATGAATGAACACAAGTACAGTCGTCTTCAGAGAACATGTCGCACATGGACGGTGTCAGCTCTGTTAATCACCGCTGCAATAAGAGCGCTGAAGACGAGTGTACAATATCAAGAAAAGACATATCGATAAATCAAAGCTAACTGAACATATCCTTACTGAAAATGGACAACATATGGCAGAGTGGAATAATATTAAAATCATAGGAAAGGAAGATAACAACCAAGAGAAAAATCAAGGAATCCGCTTGTTGCATTCTTCTGAACGGAGACAATAGCATTGCTTCCTGTTCAGCTGATATAGATAGAACATCCCAGTTAACACAAAATCATCTTAGAGATGTTCGAAGGCTTCACTTTCATGTTACAGATCACACCAGTGAGTCGAAATGTGACTAACATTAGTATCGCCAACACTTCTATTCGGGGCCCCCTTGACCGGCTTCAGGCATTACAATGCGATGCCTAATGTGACTCGAAATCTGCTGAATGTGACCTACTTCTTCTCCTTCAAAATCGAATGCACATTGGGATACTTTTGATGTTAAAATGTGAAGTCGAATGAATCGCTACTAATTACATAATGTGAACCACAATCCGTATCACTGAATATGTCACATTCCGATATCAAAGATGTATTTTAATGAAGTATTTTGTAACTCTCATTCATGTCAAAAACACATGAATTTCAGATGTTGCCAGAGAACTCACAAATTGGGTTTATCAGACCTCATTTGTGATGATAATGTAACTCGCATATCAGTCACTGATACGAATAATTGGGAGTATAAGATTAGTGAATTGAATTGAATCACTGGGAATGGAAACCTGAAATGAAAAATTCTTACAACAAACAAAACGGTAACAAAGAAGCTCATTATATTTCAACGTAGAAAACGGATATAACATATATATATGAACAAAGTATGCATGGCTTATCTGGAATATATTCAAATATATATATATTTATGAATAATGAAACAGTTATTATCACAAATGAACAAACAAAATAGTATTATCACAAATGAACAAACAAAACATTAAATAATTTGTCCAACTAAAACTGCATAAACAAGAAAAATAATATAAATCATTCTAACAAAACGAACGAAACGTTGAAAAAACATTCTCATAATCGTACATAAATAAAAAAAATTTAACAAACTTGAATTCATGGATCGATTATACTAATAAAGCTGTTACAAATTTGTGGCTGGGCATGGAGATCTCGGTAACCGGTAATTGTTAATCGAAATTCCCATCCTCAACCACAAATTCCTAACAGCCTGTATAATACTCAAAAGTTCAGTATAGGAGGGTGTCCCAAATTCGTGGGCCAACATAGGAAACTCGGAAACGGTTTTCTCCTCCCAAACAACAATAATAGAGAACGCTTCAACCTGGAAATATAGATTTATTTTTCATATTTGATAGTATTTTGTTTTGAGAGAAGAACATGCAGTTAACAACTAGGTATAAATTACCGTTCTATCAAGGCTGGCCACGATGCAATGAACACACAATATATACTGGTACCAAACCACAAAATATAGTTCTATTTTATTAGGTAGGTATATGATATTATCTCAAAGAATCAACGATTCTAACACTCTCAGCAATAGCATCGACTCTATCTGAATCTAAATCAAACGAGTTCAAGTATAGACGCTATCATACGCTATGAATCGAAAAATGAACAGACACCGGCAACCGGCCATCTCACATTCACAATGATGCCACGCCTTCTAATATCAGAGTCCTTATGAACAATTTCCAAGTACCTACTTCGATTACTATACTGAGTACTACTAGAACTACTATTCGATATTTAAGTTCTTAATATCAATGGTGGTAATTGGGATACGTCGAACTAATGAATTGTTTCATTGCAAAATGAGTAGTTTATTTGATTGTCGATAATTACAGTAGTCGAGTATGAGCTCGATGAATCAATGGAATCAGGGTATAAAGGGCATTATGGAATTCTCGGCAACATCTACGACCCTTAACGACCACGTGCAGAGCACATTGTGCGCAACATGCATGCTTTTTTGAGTCTACCGGTGAACTGATCGGCCATGATAAATAGATGGGGATATGCCATACAGGATGTTCCTTAATGACATGCAGAGGGTGATTCTTTGGACCCATTTTGAGATACAGGGTGGTAAACTTTTCAGAAAGAACATTTTTTCTTTCATTACCTACTATATAACTGCATATATGGTATTGTTTATATACCTTCATCAAATTTGGTACACGTCTTCTATGCATCAAGATACATTTTTTGATGTATACGACAAGTTCATTATTTCTCGACAAATTCATTTTTCTCCATCATTTTCAATTTACATTACATTATTGAAATCAGTTCCCGACATATTATGACAAAATGTTCAACATTCACGTTCTATTTCGCTTTCTAAACAAAATGTCAAGATTTGCAGACAGTTTTCGAAACATGAATTTTTGTATCTAGAATGCGAAATGATATTATGCGTTAGAGAATGAAAACCATTCGAGTAAAAGTGTCGACTGAAGAGCTTATCAACTTGTTAGAAACCTGAAGAAGTCCATATGTTCCACAGTAGAGGTAGAGAAAATAAAGTAAAATGAAATTGTAGAAATAAATTTCGAAGCAAGCTCTACATTATATCGTTGCTGCGGAAGTATAATGCCACAACTGCAAAAATTCACTTCTGAATCACAACTGAACATTGTTCGTCATTCTGCCAAAGAGGGAGGTCGTGCCAGAAATGAAAATTTCCTGAGATGTTAGAAAAATTGATAAACTGTTATCGACGCCTGTTCACATTTAGTTATCATGGAATATAATAAATGCGAATCACTTATTCATCCTTGAAGCATATTATACAGAGATTCCAAAGGAATTTATTTTCAACGCATTCAATGAACGTACTTGATATATGCTAGATAGACTCACAAATACACATTCATATTTGATTCGGATCGACCAAAATGTGAGTTCCATTGTGAACCATTCATCTAAATTCGTATCTCGTAGCGGTAACAGCAACTTATAATTGCGATTCGCATTTTCAACATTTGGTGACCTGAATGCGACATCTCAGAGAGGTTTGTGTTAACTGGGATGGTATTCACTACTGAAAACTGAACATGAAAATGTTAGATTCAAGATCAATTGATAAAAACATCCTGTAACCCATTTGTATACTAACATCATCGCTCATCCATATGCCAACATCAGTATGTCTCTGACAGGGGTCAAACTATGAGAAAAACATTTTCGAAGAAAAACATTTTGCATTTTTATATTGAGAACGGGAGCATATTCGTTCCAGAAACGTCCAAAGATAAGTAAAAATTCGATATTTTTTCAATATATCTATATTTCTTCTCTTCAAACATTTTTCCAAACAAAGTGTCAGTGACAAGCTATTGGATTCTTCCTTTATGCTCCCTGATAGAAAAATGTGACAGTGACATTTTGGGGCAATTCATCTGATTTGTCCTACTACACATATATTGAAATAATAATCTTGACAGACAGTATATTCAACACGTTCCCAAACAACTATTCACCCGTTGCTTCTTATATAATGCTTATAATAATATATTATATAATATCCTTCCCTCGGAACTAAGAGAATTCAAGTAGAGATTGAAAGCATTGTTTCTTACAAGGGAATAATATCATGGTTATAGGAGGCTAGTTTCTCTCCAGGCTTGACTATCTAATATAATGTGCATTTCTTGTTTTTTTATTATGATTTATATTGTCAACTCATTATTATCATCACTTATTATTATTATCACTATTGTTATTGCTATAATCATCATCATTGTTTTCATCACTATTATTAGCATCTTCGATATCCTGATTATGTTGAAAAGGGGATTATGCTGGCACCTATACAGAGTGACAGAGAGGTTTTTGTGTTATTCGCCCCTGAAGAGAAGTCATGTTCCACTTATAACATTTCAATACATTTATTCATTAAATTAAGAATGGAAAATCTCTGAACTACAGATACTAAACAACAAAATATGTAGATTCAACCCAATATGATGTAATTTACCAAAGTAACAGAGTGCCACTAGCCGAGCCACTAGCATCCTCTATGAACGATCACAAAATAAGTTGAAAATTCAGGAAACCTGAAACTACAAGATGTCATGTTCATGCTGTTGAAACTTACAAAGTTATTGGGTTTTAAAATAAAGTCTCCCTTTAGAACACCCTGTATCTCCTAAACCAGCAACATTTTTATCAGGCATGTCAGGCTAAATCTCAATATTTTAGCGTTTACTATCTGTTGTTCAAAGATTTCTCATTCTTAATGAATCATCCTGAATAATTCAGAAATCTTTAGAAGGTTGTACACTTCCATTCAACAGCAAATAGAAATATTTCTCTAGGTGTACCAAGAGGGTGAATCCACCCCTTCACGGTAGGATTAGAGGGGTGATATGATGATTAGGTTAGGTTAGATAATTGAACGACGTCGATACATCTAAACTACGTTGGCCTAGGCAATTATTCCAGTTAAGAATAAAGCATGGGCGGGATAGGATTTAGGCCGTGCATACATAGGTGCACTACTGAATGATATCAATTTCTCATCTCGTTATTCTAGATGTGTTTGTGTGTGATCTCAGTTTGCGGTTCTAATCATCGGCTCATGGTTAGACCGCCCGTAGTCTTAGAGATGACCTTGATAACGGCCATTTTCACTTCTGTCTAATACAACTTTTCTGATGGAGATTTACGTGGGAGAAGTGTCCCAAAACTCTCATAGTACGTTCACTCTGTTAACAGGCGGATCATTTCCGGTCAACGTGAATTTGGTCTAATTTTCAAATTGCATTCGAATATATCTTTCACTTGACTTATTATT